TTTCTTCTGTAAAAAAATAGTTTTAAAATTGATTTATATGTATGAATTAGATGAATAGTTAAAATATGTCAGTGGTGATCCTATAAAAAGAAGAAATTGGTTGGTATCCTAGCCACTAAACTGCTACCACCACAAATCTTAGAATAAATATAATAAAAGTATAGCTTCATGTTGAATATTTCATTCAAATTTGTTCTGTACAGAGTGAACAAGTGCCATCGGCAGATGGCAGAGATTGCTGTTCAGGCTGTTATGGCTGTCGCAGATATGGAAAAGCGTGATGTGAACTTTGAACTCATCAAGGTTGAGGGAAAAGTAGGTGGTCGTTTAGAGGACACCGTGCTTGTAAAGGGGGTTGTTATTGACAAGGACTTCTCTCATCCACAGATGCCTAAGGTAAACATTCATAACTGTTTTATTCTGTTGTTACTAGTATTACTACTTGCAGAAATTAGTAGTGTCTCTAGTGTTGTGTGCATTATCAGGTGTGCTGTGATGTGTGTAAGATAATATGTAATTGTGTCTGTTCCTGTTGCAGCAGTTATATAGGCCTAAAAGTGAAATAGTTTATTCTCTGATTAAGTTGCATATTTTTTGGTTATATATACAGCTTTTTTATAAGAAGTCTTTAAAATACATTATTTCTATATTATTTTTTGTTAAAATATTGGTTGTCAGGCCTTTTCAGTTTCTGCAACTTTATTTGTGGTTGCAGCACAGTCTTGATCCAACAAGCTGTCTGTAGAGTGAGCTGTATTGCTGCATATTTATGGTGTTTTCAAATGAAAGTGTTCTGCCTTTGCATGGAAGTGTATACTGAGTAGCCTTTTCTTTTGTCTATCCAGTACTTGGTATTACATGCTAGATTAACATCTGCTCTGAACCATTGGGGGATCCAGTCAAAGGATCTCACATACTGATGTGAGCAGCACAGTTTTGTGTTTAGTTTAAGTCTAAATATTTGTCAGTAAGTTTCTGTATTCCAGGTAACCATTGTTGTGTTTATTTGTAAAACTTATTTTATGTCTAATGTTATTTGACCTTAATATTTCTTGTATTTAGTGAAGAAACAGATCTAAGGCTTTGATTAGTGTTAACAGTGTCTTAAGCTCCCCTGAGACCTGTGTCCCATCAGGCCTTGCCATTCACAGTGTTTTTCAGGAATGTAACTCTTGTATTTGGTGAGGGATTGCTTCACTTGAAAATTTTCTTATTTAGTTTTGTCATATTTATGATTTACTTGTGACAGGTTCTGAAAGATGTTAAACTGGCGATCTTAACATGCCCATTTGAGCCACCAAAACCTAAGACAAAACACAAGCTTGATGTTACTTCAGTGGAAGACTATAAGGCTCTACGCCAATATGAAGCAGAGAAATTCTCAGAGATGGTTCAACAGGTAAGTGTTTATAAACCTGAAGATGTTGCATGTGTGTGAATACAGAATAGTCTTTGCTTTGTCTATCTTGTATTTAATGCATAATGCAAGATTAATAACTGCTCTGAACCATTGGGGGATCCAGTCAGTGGATTTCTCATTCTGATGTGAGCAGCACATTTTTAGCTTCTGACACCATCACTCAAGGAGCTGGCATAGCTCAGTTTGTATAGTGACTGGCTACGAACTGGACAACCGGGGTTTGATCCCCGATGGTGGCAGAGGATTTTTCCTCTACTCTTCGCATTCAGACCACTTCTGGGGCCCACCCAGCCTCCTATCCAGTGGGTATCGAGTCCTTTCCTGGGGGTAAAGCGTGGCCGGGTCGTGATGCTGACCACTCGCCCCCATCTAGTGCTGAGGTCAAGAATGAGTAGGAGCTATACCTCCTCTCCCCTCAAGTGCCTATATGGTGTATAGTGGGACAGCTTTACTTTTTACTCTCCATTACTCATGTAGGTACTGTTCAGGATTCTTCCTTCCATAATGTTACAGTTTATGTCCTGAATGTGATGTTATGGCATAAAGATGGTAATATTGTTAAATGTCCCTGCATTGTACACATTATTTTGACAGCTCTTTCTTAACCATTATCACTATGTCATGCTGGGATACATATCTGAGCTTTCTATTTTGAATCACTTAATCGTATGAACATAATTCACTTTACCCCACAAGCATAATCACTTTTTATATGTGCACATGTTATAAAAATCCCATTCTTGTTATAGCTTTGTTTTATGGTCCTGGTAACCAGTTGCACACCAAGATTAAATATGTGTAGTGTTAGGTTTTTAAGTTTGTTATTAATGTAAAGTTTTTCTGTGTTCTCTATACTAATGGAGGAATTTAAGAGGAAGGGATATGCAGCCAGGTTTTCCCTTCACCCATGTCTTTTGCATTTGCTTCTATGCTTGCAGCCCTTGTTAATGTCTCACACCAGACTCATAGTTTGTTATGTGTGTTTGAAGGTGAAAGATGCTGGTGCAACTCTTGCCATCTGTCAGTGGGGCTTTGATGATGAGGCTAACCACCTGCTGTTGCAACGGCAGCTGCCTGCTGTGCGTTGGGTTGGTGGCCCTGAGATTGAGGTTAGTAGTAATTCTTAAGTTGGGGGCAGTCAAGGCCTGTAATAGGCTGTAGAAACTGTAATGATGATGATGATATTAATTCTTAAGTTGATCAGACCCAGCATGGCAGAATTCCAGATGCCATTTGCCATTGGTTTCTCTGGTCAGACACCATGCCATAAAAATGTTGACACTGATCAGACCTTATACTTCCTACAGCAGTATTGTGTTGTAGGAAGTACTGACTGTTGCTACATTTTCCCTTTTAACTTTTTGTTCTTGTGTGTATATGTGTGCTGGAGAAGAAGAGTCAGTATACCGTGATGTCTTCACTTAAAGTATCGCGTGGACACAGTGACTTTGAATCTTGAGGACAGTAATTTAAAACTTAGAAAATTGGACAAGAAACATGAAATTTTACTCTAATTTAGAGATATATCATTATGTTAAAACAGCAGTTATTGAGAATAAGAATTCACATTCCAGTGCAAAGTAACAGTATTTTTTCTTGTGTCAGAAGTAAATTGTTGAAATCCTAGGTCTCTCCTTCCCCATAGTCTGATGGAACAAAATTTTGTATTTTGAATTTAATCTCATTTTAATTTTGTTTAAAATTGTAGCCATGTGACCATTATTCATAAAAAGTGGAGATGATCTGTAAGAAGACAGTTCAGTGTCATGAAGAGCGAAAAGCTGAAGTGTTTCTTATACTAGAGCAAAGTGCTCCTTTCGTCTATCAAGGTCATTCGGCAAAAAAGTGCAATGAAGACGGGTCACAAAAATGTGTAAGATCAATATCAACAAATCGACGACAATGGTTACCTAGGAAACGTCATGTTTACTCAGCATACAATGAAAGGAAGGGAGTTAAAACACTTGACCAACTCCAACTTGGTTGCATTTTAAAATCTTGAGTACTCAGGTGTTTTAATCACCTTCCTTTCATTGTATTTATTGCCCAAATATAATTTAAATACAGAGACGTCAGTTTTTGTAATCGTAATATATCGAATGAGTAGTATTATTAGTATCAGTTTACCTTGTTGGTGTTGGCACTTCAAATAGTTGATAATGTCTTCTTTCACTTTTCTTCATTTCTTAAATAGGTCTTTACGTCTCTGTTTGGAGGCCAACTGTCAGTCAAATCTTCATTTTCGAGAATGCGGTGTGCTGCTTCTGGGGCAGTGATCATGCGACTTATAAAAATCATTGTCAAATGATTCCCAGATCTAAGTAGTTGAGGTTGAATCTCAATTATGTTCTGTAAGATAGATACATAAATGTAATAAATCCTTTCCCACAGAGTATGGTAAGTATCAGAGTTTTTGTTGCGTAGGGGAAACACCCTAACTAGTAATGTAAATGAGGACAACAAAGAATACTCAGATATGAAAATTAGGCATCAGGAGATTCCCAGAAGGTAAAAATTAGCCATTTGTGAAATGTGGGGAGGTGAAGGAAGGGGAGAACAGAAAATAATAGTATCTATTTGGGAACTTTACTTACTTAAAATAAATTATCTTGAACTACCATGAAATAAAGTTAAGGGTGATACTAGGTGTATTACTAACAAAGAAAACAGCTTTCAGTACTCTTCATGTGGGTGCATGCTAAAATAAGAAGTTAAACTTAGCATCTGTTCATTTGTTTATCTATACATCCATCC